ATTATTCTTGTTTAAAGTTTCAAAAAAATTTACTTAGAAAAAATATGGTGCGTTTCTACTGACTCACCCCCATATATCAATATCAAAATGGCATTTTCGAATGGCCGGCAAATAAATACGTATAGCGGGTTAAGCCCTGCCCATACATGGGAATTGATTAATTTTAACTAATGAAATCATAAACATTCAGTCCAGTTGATAATTTTGCTACAGACTGTACTAGCTAGTATTGCTAAATGCCGAATAATGAATGAAGACGGCAATCATGTGAGCTTTAGCCAATCATCAAATGTAACGTGAAAATCATTCTATAGCTGCTCTTTATGGTTAATGATAGGGTGAGAAAGGTCGTATTATAAAACCATTCTAATAGCTCTTTGGGATTAGCATTTAGTGTTTGGATTAGGATGGTTGCATTATATATTAAAATTTCACGAGGAATTACTCAGCGACGAAAAGTAGAAAATATGCATTGATGCAGTATAACATGAGATTAATTTTTCTTAATCGATCAATGCCTTTTTTCTTTCTTATTTGATGTGTGAACTAAACGAACCTCTATAATTGTTTAGTTGAAAATAATTGTGTTATTGTAAAGAATTAAATACTATAGTATTTTGATAAGTTAGTCTCATTGAATATTATACAGTATAAAAAAAACTGGAGGTCAAATTTTTAATACTGAGTTTAAAACCTAATACTGTAAATGAAAATAATGATGCAAAAAGTTTTATCAATTGTCACGTTCAAATTTATGTGGATAAAAAATTTTTAAAAAAAAGACAATCAGTCGCGACATTTAATAATTGTTAAATAAAATAAGCATACTGAAATTACTTGCTTCTTTAGGTTCCTCTTGATACCCTAAATCAGAATCTGACGCTGAACTTGAACTTTCACGATAATTTATTTGCTTACGTACCTGAACACCCTCCTATGTTCTTCCTAAGCAAATATTATGTTTGTGGTTAATAAATTTTTATAACTATATACGGACCTTGGTTAACTTCTTTAGTCTATTCTATTTTGTCTGGATCTGGAGAGATTCCTTTTTCTTCTATAATATGTCCTAAAAAGGTTTATCCAAAAATTGCACTTTTCGATGTTAAGTTTTAATCCAGCATTTCTGATTCTGGTAAATTTCCGTCAACTTCCGTGTTGGTAATTTTGGCCACACCTTTTTGATATTTTGTAACACTTTTTTGCTAATAAAAAGAAAAAATTTTTAGTCATCCTTATAATAAGATACTCACAAACTGAGTTTATACACATCATACAGCAAATAAACTGAAAAAAATATTACTAGAGAGGCCTCAGTTGATGCTTCGGTTGATTCTCCGCTGTAATCATAATTATCCCTGCTGTTATAAAATGGAGAGGGGGTAATATTGTGAAGGTTGAGAGGAGGTATAATAACAGGAGAAGGCTCTTCAGCTGGTCGTTTTTTGGTATTTTCTACATTATAGAGTTCTTCCAATACAGACTTTAATGAAAATTAGATATCTTTAATCTAATCTTATTTAATGTCACAGATGATCATGATGGTGAAATTTGGACTAATTTAATATAGAATTTAGGGTTAGAGTTGCTTAGAAAAGATTATAAGTAGATTTTAGTAGAGTTTATATTTTCAAAAGGAGACCCAAATTTCACCATCATCCGCGACATTTAATATACTCACAAGCTTCCCTTCATTTGTTGGTATCGCTTCTGCATTATCACCCGCTGGTAGCATATATCTTCTAAATCCGTTTCGATTACATCATCAGACTTTGACGTTTGTTGCATGTCTGTAGAACGAGGATGCATCAGTCCGGTCCGGTCCCTAAGAGAGCCAGTATCATAGTATTTACGGTCCTGGTCCTTCAGTCCCATAATAGTCCTTTAATGATTACGTCAATCTTAATATATAAAATTTTATTGGTCAAAAATGACGTAATTATTTATTGTAGCAGATTAAAATGAAATCGAATTAAAATGAAATTTTTCTATTTTTTTAAGAAAATTTAAAATTTTTTGGTGAACATTTTTAGGGTTAGAGTTAGTGTTAGGGTTAGGGTTTGGAGTTAGTTTTATTAATAAAAGAGTATAAGTGGGTTTTATAAGCTTTAAAGATGAGCAAAAAAGGTTCCCAGTTTCATTTTAATCTGATTTCATTATAATCTGCGACATTTATTGTCAGATGTAAACAAACATCGATTGGGTGATACGAATATCACAGTTATGTTTACAAAGACCGGTCCTTATCGGTTCCGGTTCTTCAGTCCCATAACGGTCCTTTAATGATTACATCAATCTTAATACATAAAATTTTATTGGTCAAAAATAACATAATTATTTATTGTCAGATGTAAACAAACATCAATTGGGTGATACAAATATCACAGTTATGTTTACAAAGACCAGTCCTTATCAGTCCTGGTCCTTCAGTCTCATAATGGTCTTTTAATGATTATGTCAATCTTAATACATAAAATTTTATTGGTCAAAAATGACGTAATTATTTATTGTCAGATATAAACAAATATCGATTGGATGATACGAATATCACAGTTATGTTTACAAAGACTGGTCCTTATCGGTCCCAGTTTTTTTCATGACTGATACATCTCTAATGTAATGAGTTTCTTAGCTACAACTCTTTCATTACAATCCTCATGATCTTGAAAGCTTTCTGCATCTAAAGTCTAGATCTTGTGAAGAAAACATTTGCTATATAAAACATTACACAAATAAAAAATTTCAATTTAAATACTCACACTGGTCTGCTCCTTGGTGTACAGAATTTTGATTCCCTGAATCTGTGATTTTCTTGCCAATTTTACCAAATGACGGACCCGAGCCAAACTGGACTTTAGACAAGTTTGAGTCCGGTTTGAAATTCAAATCGGACTAGAACTCAAACTATTTTAAAGCTTAGTTCGGTCTGGGTTCGAATATTAAACTTTTGGCTTGGTTCGAGTTCAGTCCGAAGTTTGCAAACATGTGAGTCCAAAACCTGCCATTACATCATACAAAATGAAGAATAACACCCTTATTTTTCACTGGGGAAATAAGCCATAGATCTCTGGTTATATGAGGGCCCGAGGGGCCCTCATATAACCAGAAATTTACCTCTTATCCCATCGTTGCAAAAAATAAATAGTTTCTTTTTACTTTTAATTTGATTTCTTATTTTATTTAATCGGCAATGATCATAATAGTGGGTTTAATCAAAACAAGCCATTTTTATATTTATATTAAATTAGTCTATAAGTATGGTTTAAAATATGTCAAAAAAATTTTTGTTGCTCTTTAAGTTATTCTATCTCAGGAAGATTATAAATTATCTATTATACCAGTAACAGATTGCAATAAAGTACATGGTTATATAGCAAGTGAAAAAGTATATCCGTATCCATATGTCTATGAGGTGTGCATCTATCAAATAACCAAATTCTATTAACCTTAACTTGATCTGTTTACATCTCTACTAAAGCTTGTTGAGAAATAATATTTGTATTGTTTGATAAAATCTTATGATTTCTTGTCAAAACCTTAAAAATAATGCTATGTTATACAATCATATTCTAAAAATATCCACGTAATTCTTACAATTTATATAAAATTTACATAAAGAACAATAAATACAGAAGTATCATTTAAGATCTATTTTTCTAAATAGGCAATCAAAGTGTGTATTTTGTAACCTATGATTACATACCATCGTGAACCAATCGAGCCAAACCCTATCGCGGTATAGTTGAGAGAAATAAAAAAATAAAAATTAGTAATGTTGAATGGGCATAAGCAAAAAAGTAATAAATGCATATTTAAAAGGGCTGTTAGTTGGTCTGTCTTGGCCCAAAGACTGGCAAAAAATAACCAACAGTCAAACGGTCGATTTTATACAAGAAAAAGTATTCATAAAAATATTAGATACTGGAAATTTCATTAAAAATTTAACCATTCAAGCTACCGCTTTCTCCCAACAAGAAGTTGGACCAGACTGCGGCCCAGGGCTGATTAGAACCAATCTGTATAAACTGATTGTTAAACTAATTAAATGTACCAACATATTGATAATTATTACCTATTATTATTATAAACTCCAAACTATTAGTTTATTGTTTGTTTTATTTACCTATAAACAAAACCTGTCTATTGTTATTAGAGCTAGTAATGGCATATACATGAATTTTGAGAATTATGCATATGATTTTTGTAAGTATATTTTAATAAGTCCTGTACTATAAGTACGTATATCTAGAAATTGAGTCTAATTATATTTCGAACCCGGACAGGTTTGCAAACTTCTAACTGAACCCAAACCAGATCTAGGGGCACTACCCATCATTAAGCACACCTTTAACTAATATCTATTATAATAATAGTTAACATTAAATATTATGTAAAAATTGCGAGTTTTTACAAAGACTGAATATTTCAAACAACAAACCTTATTTCGTTGATTAATTATCCATGTCTAATATATTTGTAGGTAGTTCACATCCTTAAATTCGGAATTAATCTTTTAAAAAAATATAAGCTACTAGCATAATAAGTATATTGTGGTTTCAAATCACTATAGAAAGCTTAGGAGCATGAAGAAAACAGCGAGTCGCGTATGGTAGAACTAAGTAGTACTTATACTCTATCTGTGATTTACAGGGCAAGAGTTGTTCATACCACCACTTGTGCTGGGTAGTACCCATACTTTGGATTCGTGATTTACATGTCAAAAGTTGCCTTTTCACCAAAAACTGAAATATGTTTACCCTTTTGTTACTTATCTCCAAAAAATATTTAATTTCTTTTAGAAGGTGTTGGCTCCATATGCTGTAATTAGCATTCCAAGTCTTCGCATACAGCGGAATTGTTTTGATAACTTCTTAAAGAAATATAAGTCACTGGTATAATAAGTATATTGTGGTTTCAAATTATTATAAGAAGCTTAGAAGCATGAATAAAACGGCAGGTCATACATGGTAGAACTAAGTAGTACTTATACTCTATTCGTGATTTACAAAGCAAGGGCTGTTTATACTACCTAGGGATGGGTTTGACTACGAACGGCTACGATTGTTCATAGCCAATTTGCTAAAAACCCAGCCGAAATTCCATTATTTTGCCTTGGGTGGACACCTACTTG